GGGGGGGGGGGTGGTTAGAAGGCGACAGTCCATACCAGCATCTCAGAGGCTCTCAGCACCTCCTAGGACGGGGGAGAGGACAGAGCGCTGGCTGAGGGCCAGGCGACTTAGCATGCAGCACAGGGCGGGGGCCCCGGCGCAAGGCCAGGACGCAGCACCATTTCCTGCCTGTCTAAAACAAGCAAAAGGCAGGGGTCAAACGTGCCCTCTAACCTCCCCTGGTTTCCTACCCAGGAAGGTTAGGAAGGCGGGACCCAGGCCCCACATCATCCCTAGCAGATAAGCAGCCTAGGAACCTACCAAAACGAAGTGCCCTGGAGGGAAAAGTGCTTTGCTTCAGGGAGTGAGGGGAGAGGGGTGAGGGGGAGTGGGAACATAGTTGTGCAAGATACCCTTCTGGGCCTCCAGGGTAGTGCTCTCAAGCTTGAGTGAGCCCATGAAGTTCCTGGAGGACCTTGCTCCAAACTGCCCTTCGCTGAGCCCCAGTCCCAGATATCCGCTCAAGCAAGTAAGGAGTTGAACATATTTAACAAGCACCCCTAGTGACTCCCAGGCTGGGTCCCAGAGAACTGGGAAGAGCGGACTAGGCCACCATGCTGCTGGCACATTTAGGGAGTTCTGTTCCCACAATAAGGACGTCGGTAGCCAGGGACGAGGACAAGGGCTGAAGGCAGCTACGTCCACTCTGTGCAGCCCGAGGTCTGACTTTTGGGGAGCTGGAGGCGCCGTCACTCATCAGCCCAGTGGCAGACCAGGAGCCAGCAGGCACTTGAATACTCTGCTGCCACGTCATGGAGAGGGAAACTGAGGCACAGGAAAGAGCAAGGGATTCATTACGGTTGAACCTCTGCCTGCGGCAGAGCTGGGGCTGGAGCCCAAGCCTCCCAAGTGAAAGCGTGGACGTGTCTGCTCTTCAGGAAACCAGGCTCAGGTCAAACATAAGTGCTGCCACCGCGGGAAAGCAGCAGACTCCCTCCAGGAAAGACTTTTCCTCCATTGTCCCGGGATGACCTCTCTGGAGTGCTCTGTGGAGAGGGTTTGGCTTGCCCCTCCTAAGGGAGCCCCTGGAGGAGGTAGAGAAACTCTCTGGTACAAGTGTCCCATCTGAAGTTGAAGCTTCCCTGCTTCTGCTGTAGAGCCAGGGTGAGACCCAGAGCCGGGCCGGTGATCCCTAGAGCCTGGTGATCCTCTGCATTCACAGTGCCTCCTCCATGCCACTGAGGCTGTGGGCAGCCTCCCCAGAATGCTCCCCAACCATCCAGGGGGGATGCTGGGGTGGGGGGTGCTTCTGGAAGCCCCAACAGCCTCTCTCCCATTTCCGAGAAGTCCTCTTGCTACCAGATCATGGGGTGGAATCTTTCATGATGGGATTATTTCCTGAAGCACCTTAAAAATGAATTTGAGCTAGGAACCTTTCTGCATATTTAAGTGCCAGGAGGTCACCGTTGCTCAGAAAGGGGCCTTGGGAAGCAGGTTTGTGCTCCTGATTACCCTGCCTCTCTGGGAGGTGGGCTTAACTATCTTGTCGCTGCCCACTTCCTGGTGCTTGAAGAGCACCCCCTCCCCCAAGCAAAGACTCTAGGGCAGCCTTGATTCTGCAGAGAGCCTGTCACCATGATTCCCGGGGGCAAGGCAGCAGCGAGGGGGCGGGAGGGGGGCCTCCAAGGCAATCCCTAGGATTCCTGCTCCGACGTGAGCTCTCCGTCAAGACAGCTTGGGGGCCTCTTGGCTGGTAGGAGGGTACAGGAGTCTGTCAGGAGGGTCCACGATGCAGTCCTTCAGGATCTCCACCGGCTCCTTGTAGGGTGGAACGGGCGGTTTCTGGGTCACAGCCTCCTCCACACAGAGTGCCCCCATCTTCTCCTTCCTGAGCCCTGGTCCTTGTGCGAGGGGAAAGAGAACCCACAGTTACACGGAGGGGAAAACAGATTCGATGACGACCCCTTCCCACATCCACTGTGCCCCAAGGAATGCTGGGTGAGAATGCAGAACAGCCTGGAGATATGACTGCGCTGCTCTTGGCAGACCTGTTCTAGACTCGCTCTGTTCTCTCACCCTGGGGTGGTGGGCCTCACCTGGGGCGATTCTGCCCTCCAGGGGACACGTGGCAATGCCTGGACACACTTCTGATCGCTACAACTGGGTGAGTGCCAAGGGGGCCCAGTGGGTATGTAAGGGGTGCAGGTCAGGGGTGCTGCTGGAGACCCGATCACACACAGGCCGGGCCTCGCAACGAGGAACCTTCCAGCCCTCAGTGTCCACAGTGCTGAGGTTGAGAACCCTGCCTGGAAAGGAGGGCCTTATCCTATCAAATCTGGTAGTGCCCTGTATTTGCTTCAGATGTACTAGTCCCACCGCCCCCTGCAAAAGGGCACACTTGAGAGCACCCTTCACCCCCACATGGCTGGACGTGGGGAGCAGCTCACTCAGCAAACGCGTGGGCGAAGGATTCACTCTCCGGCTCCCTACCTTTCTCCCCGTCTCCTCTCTCCACTTCCACCCCAGGCCCCTCCCCTTGCCCAGCAATGGGGCCAGGGCCGCCCTGCTTCCTGGGGAGCCCCTGGCAAGCCTGAGACCCTGTCCGCAGCTGATGACCACAGACCGGGTGGTAACCACACAGGAGCACAAGCAATGGAAGGGGACCAGAAACAACAAGATGTCAAGGAAGAAACTTCATTGCTGTCACTGAGAAGTGACACACGAATAGCCTGGAGGACCTCTTTGGTTTTCAGGGACTACTTGAAAAGAGGAGACTTGCTCACTTCAGACTCAGTAACTCACCTCCCATATAACATAAGCGTCCCTCCAGTCCGTCCCCACCCCGGCCCCCAGGCTAGTTGGGCTGTGCCCCTCACAGACGCCTCCCTGCCCAGGATGCCCCAGCCCTCTCCTCCACCTAGAATCTTCTTCTCGGCCCCTCCGACCTGACTTCTTCCCTCCCGAAAGAGCCGACACAGCACCACGGAGAACGTGAGCTCACCACCCCAGCTTGTCCAGTCCTCTGGTTACTTCCAGTCCTGGTCTTAACCTTCAGAGGGTGCCGCTGGCATTAGGGGCCAGACGTTGTGCACTCGACACGTATTAATTCACTTTACAGAAAAAAAACCAAAGCACAATGCGATTAACCGGCCCGACGTCACACACTAGTTAGCGGAACCAGCGGGCAGACTGGCTCCGAAAATTCGTGCTCTCAGCACTACTCCCTGCTGCCTGCAGCGAGCATGCCCTGCCTCCCTAGCCGGATCATAAGCTGTGTGAGGGTAGATGTCGTGTCTCGCGCACCCACTGAGACCACGCCTATTGTGACAGCTGACACAGTGTCAAACACCTCGTGTCCGAGGTCAGCATGGGATTGGGAAGATAAGATTCTCTCCCTTCGTTTTCCCACGTCCAGGAATTCTGTCACACGGACTTACCCACATGGGAGCGAGGTGGCGCTTGGGCACAAGTGTAGACGTGGCTGAAACGCCGGCCTGAGGAGGTCAGGTACCAGTGCTGGATGGCGGGCTGGGGGTCGTACTCCGTGACTGCCACACCGTTCACTGCCGTCATCATGAGCATGTTGATCACCTCGTTGGAGAGCTTGGTCCTCTCGTCGGTCCTGATCCGGTTCATGGCACTGAAGCCCCGCTCACAGCAGGAGGTGGAGACGGGCACGCAGGCCACCACAGCCACCAGCCTGCTCAGCAAGGGGAACCGGTAGTGCTGGGCCAGGGCGTTCTTACACAGCATGGAGAACGGGAGGTTCTTGGCGATGGCTTTCAGGCCCAGCCACTCCTCCAGGAGTGCTTCCTCGCTGTACCCTGCGGGGAGGGAGAGCTCAAAGTATCTGGCAAGGGCAAGAATGTCATCGTTCCCAAAAGTGGCAAGTTCAATCCCACTTGGCCAGGCCATGGTGTCAAACACCTCCATGTTCTTGAGCTGCGGGGGCCGGTCTGTGTCAAACCTTTGCTGGAGGTACTCGATCCCGGTCAGGATCATTCTCTCCCTGTCCGCCTGGAACCGCTGCTCTGCCATCTGCATTCTGTCCAAGAAGATGCCATGGAGCCGCCCATCCCGGAAGCCAGCGTTGAACTCTTCCTCTTTGGGCCCTGCCTGGTGACGGAGGGTCTCCAGGGCCACGTAGGCCCGTCCCAGTGTGGAGTTCACCTCCGTAATCAGCACGATCTCCTTCTGGCACACCTCGGACAGAGGCCTGTAGATGCTCAGGAAGTCCAAAAGGAAGTGGCAGAACTTGACGAAATGGAAGCTTTTCATCAGCTTCAGCATGCCTCTGGCCCTGTGCCCGATCTGGCCCCCGGCTTCTGCCACGCCCTGGAGGTGCCTCGCCAGGGCCGGCCAGCTCACGATGAGCGCGTTCAACGTGCGCCTCTTGCTGGCCACCCACCTGACGGCGTTCAGGTCCTTCAGGCGGATGATTTCCTGCTCTAGGGGAGCCGCGCCTTCCTGCAGCTCGTTCAGCCTTTTATTCGAGGACTGATAAAACTTGAAGACGGTCCGAATGTGCCGGTCACACTTCTTCACCAGATCGATGCCCCCACAAGCGTCGACCACGGCCAGGTGCAGCCGGTGGGCGACGCAGTGGACAGGCAGCAGCTGGGGGATGACCTCCTGGAACTTTTCCACGAGGCCTCCTCTGCAGCTCAGCATGGTCGAGCCATCGGTTCCCAGGCCGACCACCCAACCGGGCTTCCGGAAGGGGATGTCCAGTTCATCCAGGGCAGAGATGATGGTCTCAAAGTATCCGTCCACCGTCTCACTGTAGAGAGGGGCCAAAGTAATGTACGACTCTTTCACCTCCATGCCCTTAAAGTAGCGGATATAAATCCCCACGCAGGACTGGTCGGAGGCGTCCGTGGAGCTGTCCAACAACACGCTCACACAAGGGGAGCTCCGGACATCCTCGAGGATCTCCTTCTTGAGAGTCTCAGAGATGTATTTGATGAACTGCGTGCACGCGGTGCGATTGCGGTACTTGCCCAAGATCATGGTCCCGGTGCTTTGGAGGAGTTGCAGGATCTTCTCAAAGTCATTCAGGGGCCTCGAGTGATACGCGATGGAGTAGGCGGCGTTGAAAAAGTGCTCCATGTTCGCCATCAGGTCACTGGAGATCTCTGGGACCGGGGCAGCCTGAGGGGTGTCTTCCTTGACTTCCACGGTGTTGACACAGAGCTTGTGTGCTTTGCTGACCTCGTGGTATTTCAAAGTCTCCACTTTAAAAGGCCCCGTGTAGCCGCGGACTAACCGGGATGATTTGTCGTGGAGACTAGGTCTTTCTTTGCAAGCTGAACAGAAGAGCTTGGTCTCTTTGGGGTCGATTACTAACCACGGGAACTGCCCAAACCATGACCTCTGGATTGAACGGGGTCTGTAAGTCCTCTTGATTTTCCTGGGTCCATCTACTTCAACTTCACAAAGGCTGGGATTACCGTGGGAACTACGGGTCTCCACTGAAGGGGCCGGAAGCACTGTGGATTCTACAGCCAAGGCCTGTGCATCTGCCTCTCTTCCGGCCACCATTTTCTTCTTCCCTTTGGAGCAAATACAAATGTGCTTAGTGTTGCTGCCCAGAACTCTGTAGCCTCCTATCAACTAGGATATCCAATTTAATGAGTATCCCTTATGCAAAGCAGAGCTGAATGTGATCTACCTTTCTAGAAATCATCAGTGACTTCTCTTTAAACCGTTCCCCATTGTTATCTGTGTAAGTCAGCTTGCGGTCTAAGAGAGGTCCACTGACCCTTGTGGGACCTTTAGCCAGCCTCCCTCTCTCCATCCACACAGCTACCCTGGGACCGTGTGACATCAGCTGCTAACAAGCTTAATGAGCCACCTTGGCCATAGATGCTATTGGATAAACAAGTGACTTCAATCCTCTTTCGGGCACCACAAAGAAATGAGGTTAAGTATCCATAAGTCGTCTTACGAGCCTTAGAAAGAAGGAAGGTACAGGGGCGCCTGGGTGGCTCAGTCGGTTAAGTCCAACTCCAGCTCAGGTCGTGATCTCACAGTGTGTGAGTGCAAGCTCTGCATCGGGCTGTCTACTGTCAGTGCAGAGCCCACTTCGGATCCTACGTCCCCCTCTCTCTCTGCCCTTCCCCCCGCCTCTCAAAAATAAACATGTAAGGGGCGCCTGGGTGGCTCAGTCGGTTGAGCGTCCGACTTCAGCTCGGGTCATGATCTCACGGTTTGTGAGTTCGAGCCCCGCATCAGGCTCTGTGCCGACAGCTCGGAGCCTGGAGCCTGCTTCGGATTCTGTGTCTCCCTCTCTCTCTGCTCTTCCCCCACTTGCTCTTTCTCTCTCTCTCCTTCAAAAAAATAGATAAAAACATTTTAAAAATTAAAAAAAAAAATAAAAAATAAAAAAAATAAACATTTAAAAAATCTTATAAAAGAAAGAAAGAAGGGAGGTACCGAAGTATTCACAGTAGCTACTAGCCAATAAGCCCCTGACTGAGATACACAAAACAGTGAACTCTCACAGGCCAGGGTGCTGTCACGAAAAACTGGAGGGGGAGGGAAGAAGGGCGGCTTGCAGGCCTGCAGTCACAGAGTTCCTTATAACCAGTGTCTCCCACACATCGCCCCCACCAGCTCTACCACAGACCCTATTAGCATTCTGCTCATGAAAGGGCCTCGTTTTTCCCGTACGGACCCCGTTTCCCAGGCTGTCTGACACTTGGACGGCACAGTTAAGTTTCTTACTCATCTTTGTCCACCAGGGCCTAAAACAAGGCCTGTTGCACAACAGGAGCAGGACAGGGATGGCTGAGTGAACACTGTGACTCGCTGTGGCCACGTGGGCCCCAGGATGTGCCCTTCAGAGCTCAGTAGGTCAAGACTCACCTGGAGGACGACCTTTCCCCCACTTGGGCCCGTTGGGGTCCTTGATCCAGGGCGCAGCCCGACGTTCCAGCTTCAAGATCAAGTCTGGTTTGGCAGCCGCAGGCCCTAATGCAGGGACGAAGAGTCACACTGAGGTCCCTGCTGTGGACCACCAAGTCAAGTAGCCCGCCCGAAGCTAGTCACGGAAACGGAAATACTCAGGGGTGGCTCTGGGTCTACCTCTTAAGAAAGTCTATTCAGCCAGGACCACGATGAAAACATACGCACGTGGCAGGCCAATTTATGCCTAAAGCCCGAGAGACAGTCAGGTCCAGATGCTAACGTGCATCTCTTAGCCAGGATACATAACGTCCTTAGCTCCGCAGACCAGCCACTGGAGACAAGAGTCAGCTGATTGCATCTAGAGGAAAGGTGGGTGTCAGAGGAAACAGGATACAACAGGAGGAGAGAGGGCAGGGATGGTAAAGCCACGCGAGAAGAGTTAGACTGTCACGGGCACTATGCTGGTTCAAGTGCCCCCAGAGTCACCATGGCTGGCCTATGGGCAGGTATCTTACTACATGAGTTATTTTCAAGGGGCACTTGAAAGGCCCCTTAAAAATGTCTGCCACCTGCAGAGGAACCTTAAATATGACTAGAAGCAGGTCAGGCCTTTGGGTTAAGCACTGCCCTTTATTTAAAAAATGAATATTCTCAGGGGTAGGCAAAGAAATTGCTTTCTTGATTTAAAATAGGGGCGCCTGGGTGGCTCAGTCAGTTGAGCGTCTGACTTCGGCTCAGGTCATGATCTTGCGGTCTGTGAGTTCAAGCCCCACGTCGGGCTCTGGGCTGACAGCTCAGAGCCTGGAGCCTGCTTCATATTCTGGGTCTCCCTCTCGCTCTCTCTCTGCCCTCTCCCATTCATGCTGTCTCTGTCTCTCAAAAATAAACACTAAAAAAATTTTTTTTAAATAAATAAATAAAATAAAATCCATTAATATCTACCTACATGCTTTGGTATGTGTGTGAATGTGTGTGTAAATTCCCTTTGGAAAGACAAATACAACTGCTAAGCGTGGGTGCTTCTGGGAAAATAGTGATTATTGTCACTATTCATCTCTAGGGTCACTTGAATACATTTATATATTTATATCTGTTATGAGTGTGTATCCATATAATTACTACTAATAAAAATATAATTTAATACATTGTTAAAGTGCAGTAGACTGGATACATCCTTAAAACATGTCTAAAATGAGGGCAATGGAATAATAATAATAATAATAATAATAATAATACAAGGAAAAGTTACTGAACACCAGATACTGGCAAAGTAGGTGGCAAGGAGAAAGAAGCGGATCTAATGGCAGAATCCCCCAGAGACTCGGGACGAGGGGCCATGAGCGGCAGAAGGTGGTGAATAAGAAACGGGTAGAAAGGGTGGGCCCACAGTCTGCAGAGACCATTCCAACCCGGGTCGTCCCACCTGCCCCAGGAAACCAGAGAACACCGCCACCCCCACCTACCCTCACTTGAGGAGAATGGAGATTTAGTCCACAGAAAAACAGAAGTGGGAAGGTTCCAGGCCCGGGGAGGGTGGGGATAGTGGACAAAGAAGGAGAAGGGTCATGATAATGAAGAAAGAGTCTGTGTTCGGAAATGTGCACTACTCAGCTCCAAGAACACAGGCTCGGCTTCTGGCCCCAACCAGGGGACTTGGAAGAGTTTTCTTTTCTTCTTTTAAAAGTGTTTACTTATTATTTATCTTGAGAGAGAGAGAGAGAATGCAGTGGAGGGGCAGAGAGAAAGGGAGAGAGAGGATCCCAAACAGGCTCCAAGCACAGAGCTGAATACAGGGCTGGAACGCACGATCGATTGGTGAGATCATGACCTGAGCCAAAATCAAGAGTTGGATGCTTAACGGACTGAGCCACCCAGGTGCCCCTGGAAGAGTTTTCTTTGGAGAAAGAGAATTGCCCCTCCCTGTCCCCTTCTGCCCCAAAGGCCTCCGGGACATTGACTTTTGCAGGATTCTCAGTGAGACCTGCAGGTTCACAGCGGACACTCTGCAGTGAAACCCACCCCTTGATGAGTCCCAGCTGCGCACAGAGCTTCCAGCCAAGGTTTGTCAAGGCTTTACTCTTAAACCTGGATGAACCACACGATATTTATTTAAGACAAGCCTCTGACATGAAACGGGTAGGAAAGAGATCGGAGGAACTAGAGAAACTGCAAGGAACAAAACAGATCTCCAAAAAACAAGACTAAATTCCTGTTCCCAGAGAGAAAAGTCACGATAGTCACCCACGAAGAGAGTCATAGGGGTTCTTAGATTAAAAGTATGATAGAAGAGGGGCACCTGAGCAGCTCAGTTGATTAAGCTTCGGACTTTGGCTCAGGTCATGATCTCACAGTTCATGGGTTCAAGCCCCATGTCGGGCTCTGTGCTGACAGCTCAGAGCCTGGACCCTGCTTTGGATTCTGTGTCTCCCTCTCTCTCTGCCCCTCCCCCACTCATGCTCTGTCTCTCTCTCTCTCTCCCTCAAAAATAGCATTAAAAAACAACAAAATACAATAGAACAAATGACAAAATTAAGTAGATTGTTAGCAAATAAAATTGAGAAAATCTCCAAGAAAGTAGAACAAAAAAGACAGAAGCAGAAAAGGAGAAGCAGAAGGAGGGAGAGGTGGGGAAGGAGAAGAAAATAAAACCAGAGGCTCAATTTAGGAAGTCCACTATCTAACTGACAGGGCTTTTTGGAGGAAAGAAAAGAGATAATCAATAGGAAGAAATCATACAAGAATGTCTCCCCAAACCGGAAAATGCAAGTTTTCAAGTGGAAGGGAAGCACTAGGTACCCAGAACAAGAAGTGAAAAGTCACTGATGCTATAAACACTTCAGAACACGAGACTAGATCTTGAAAACTTTCAGAGTAGAATAAAACAGGCTGTGTTCAAAGATTTAGTTAGAAAAAGGTATTTAGGGGCACCTGGGTGGCTTAGTGGGTTAAGCGTCTGACTTAGGCTCAGGTCATCATCTCGTGGTCCGTGAGTTCGAGCCCCATGTCAGACTCTGTGCTGGCAGTTCGGAGCCTGGAGCCTGCTTCGGATTCTGTGTCTCCCTCTCTTTCTTCCCCTCTCCTGCTCACATTCTGTCTCTCTCTCAAAGATAAACATTAAAAAAGAATTTTTAAAAAAAGGTATTTTAACTTCTCTTCAGCACCAGTAAAACCTAAATGCAATGCTTTCAAAATACTGAGGAAACTATTTCAAAGCTACCATTTTTTTTTTTTTTTTTTTTAGTGTTTATTTATTTTTGAGAGAGAGAGAGAGCAGGGGAGGGGCAGAGAGCAAGGGGGACAGGGGATCTGAATCGGGCTTCGCACTGACAGCACAGAGCCCAATGCAGGGCTCGAACTCACGAACTGTGAGACCATGACTTGAGCCAAAGTTGGACACTCAACCAACTGAGCCATCTAGGCGCCACCCCCCCCCCCCCCCCCCACCCCCACCAAGCTACCAATTGGAAAGCAGCATAAGGCATGTCCTCCCATGCAGCCTTTCTTGGGAAGTTACTGGAAGATGTGCTCCAAAAAATGAAGATATAAACCTGGAAGAGATACAGCCAGGGGACAGGAGGGGGACAAAGGAAACTCTGAGGCCACAGCTGTGCAGGCCTAAAGAATAACCAGCTTGTCAGACAGGGCAGGAGAATGGAGACCTGATAACAGAAGCCCCCGGGGAAAGAATGAAATTGATCGGTCACAGGATGTCTGAGCATGTGGAAAAGCTCTTCAGAGGAGGTTTAGAATTCCGCTGGACAGTTGGAGAAGAATTGGCAATAGTACAGAAAACTAGCAAAAAAAAATTCAATTTCGGGGGGGAATATCCTACAAGGAAAATCATCATACTATGCCACTTTGATCAGAAATAAATAATACATCATCATAATTATGCAAATAATTTACATTGAATTAACCAAAACAGTATGATATACTTGTTCTGAGAGGATTGAGGGACAGAGTGGAGGCCCAGGGTGGTGTAAGAGGGCCGGATCTTCACCATCCATAGTAGTAATCAAGAGCAGGTATCACTCTAAAATCAACAAACCAGAAACAGCAACAGACATATTAAAGTGTGAGTCTGCCCGTCTGTTTTGGTTCAAGGTCCAAAAGATAGGAGGGACGCCCAGGTGGCTCAGTCAGTTAAGTTGTCTGACTTGGGCTCAGGTCATGATCTCTCCGTTTGTGAGGTCAAGCCCCTCACTGGGCTCTGTGCTGACAGCTCAGGGCCTGGAGCCTATTTTGGATTCTGTGTCTCCCTCTCTCTCTGCCCCTCCCCCACTCACGCTCTGTCTCTGTCTCTCTCTCTCTCAAAAATAAATACACATAAAAAAAATAAAAAAAATAAACAAAAAAACCCAAAAAGATAGGAGCCAACTGTCCCCCATCCCAAAGCTAGACCACTGAGGCCTGACTTGGAAAGTGGGTGGCTGAAACACTGGGCTGGGACCCGAGCCCTCGACACAGGGAGTCGGTGCACTGGGAGTGAAGAGGACAGGAAGCTGGATACTAGAGATGTTTCTGGAAATGGATGTCAAATACACTGTGAGGACCCCTCCCCTACCATGGAGAGAGGTGGCACGAGCTACTTTCCCCTGACCTTAAGCCTAATGGGGATGACATCCTGACCTTTATCTCCTGGGCTATGGGGCTCCTCATGAATCCAGGCCTGGAAAAGACTAAAAGGCAGAATCTGATGGGCTCCTTCATGGCAGCCATGTTGGGAACAGCCTACATTCCCAGACTTTGTCGGAGCAAAGGATACCTAAGTGTTTTCCATGGTCCAGATGTGGGCCCCTGAGGGAAAGAGAAGGGTCTGGAGCCACTTCCAGGGACTCTGCCCATGACTGCCTGTTGGCAGCCCAGGAATGAGCCACTATGGGGCTGACGGCCAAAACAGACATTCACCGTGTAGAACAGGTGGCAGTAAGGGATGGCGGGGGAGCGTAGAGCCCACAAACTCACCCAGAGAATCAGCTTTCAACTATCCGAGCCACGAGTGGAAGCCAGGTGAAAGCTTTGCGGCACCTGTCCTCCCCACTCAGCCACCACTGCGCCCCCCA